ACCTGCAAGTTTGACTAATAGTCTGAAACCTTCTGTAATGTCTGTGAATCATAATTTAAAAAATTGAAATTCTCTTAATCAGCATGAATTCTTAGTACAACCTTTACCCAACTTTCTCCCACTCTTCACACTCCTTTTTTTTCCTCCCCATTCATACTCACGTACTTAGCCTATGAAGCATTATCCTTGGCATTTATGATTTTTGTCCATGCTACAGGCAATGATGACAGAAGAGAATTGGCCATATGTTTTTCAAAACTCCTCAAGCAGTTCCGATTCATTATGACAGATAGTACCTGTTTTAACTTTCATTTTTGTCCACAGCTGCCTTGTATTACTTTGAAGATGGAGTGAAGAGCTAAACATCCTCTTTTATGGCAATCAGTTTGAGCACACTTAGGGAAGAAAGTTTCAGATACTTTTGGAGTGTGGCTGCCAGGAATGCCTAGCAGGGTTCTGGGAGCTCCTGTAGAGAGACTGCCATGAGAAACAGGAATAAGCCAGTCAGCTACCAGGTATGAAAAAAGCTTCCCAGGAAGCAAATGGGACCAGGAAGGATTTGCTGCCCCTCAGAAATTCAATGAATTAACTCATAAGTGGCACCATACAATCCCATCTGCAAGGGCAAAGTGGGCTGAACTGCTTAGAAGCCTTTTATTAGTTTCTATTCTATTTCTATGATATTCTATAATTTCTATTAGTAGCAGCTTTGAGGTTGGGGTTTTTTTTCCTGTTTAAAAATGAGAATTATTTTAGTTTGTATTCTACGAAAACCTGACCTTTCTGAGTGTAAAAGCCTTTTGGTCGTATTTGGGAAGCTTGCAATGGGAGAAAAATCAAAGCCTTGGAGCTACGGCCAACACTGAATCCTCTCACAAGCATCAGTACCACAAGATGATAAAACTTCTCATTTTCGCAGTGCTGGATCTTTATTCTGGGAAAGGCTTCTGTTAAAGTATTACAAAATAGACACTTACAAATTAAGATAATGAAAGCCACTCGTCACTTCTGAAAATTTCATCTGTTCAGTAACTGCAGCGAAACCAAGAACCATTAAAATGCTTGATTCAAGTAGAAGTGAATCTTTCCTTGATGATGACAAAATAGTAAAATCATCTTTTTTTTTTTTCTTCTTCTTCCTAGCCGATCAGGTATCTGCTGTGAGGTTTGTCGGGGGTTTTTGTTAGGTTTTTTTTATTTATTATACTGTTCAGCTGCAGAATTGTAGAAGCTAGATTTACTCAGATTACTTGGGTTAAAATTTGGTGGCTTCTGGGGACCCTTTTATTTGCTTACATTTTGCTCGAGCTTTGCTTTTGGCTTTATTCCTGAAGCTGCTATTATGCCAGCAGTACTAGCTACAATATCCATTGCAATCCCTTTTTCCATTCTGGTGCACGTGGTGAAATGGTAAAAACTGAGATATTTTAGTTGAAGAATAAAATCAGCTCTTAAGCAGAAGAAGAATCTACCTCTTCCTGTCTAAACTTGGTCCACGTGCTTCACCCAGAGAAGTGTGGTAGAAAGGGATTTTCCCTTAAGTATGTATGTCAGCCTCAACCTTTTGTGCTGTTCGGTTCGGTACTCGCTCTGACAGAAAAATATGTGCAGATGCAAATGTGTGCCTTAATATGTGGGAACCAGATAAAATTAGAGCAAGATATGGTTTCAAAGTAAGTAAAACAGCACAGGCTTCTTTATCCACTGTTTTCCACCATTGCTAATGAGACTAACCATAAGGGCATGGCTACTCAAGTACCTAAGCATTTGCAAACTCAGGCCTGATGATGAAAATCCCAGTTTCATCGAAGAATAGTTGGATGATAATTTGTAAACGTAGCAAACAGGCTATTTTGAGATTTACAACATAGGTGTTGCAAGTACAGATAGCCCTCAAATGAAATTTTTTTCTTTGTTGCTTCACGCCCAAAACAGTTTAGGTGCTTGAAAGTTTATTGTTTTTTTTTTTTACCAATTGATCCCATAAAATACATTACCTCTGTCAACTTTACTTCATGTTGACGCACTGCTAATTATTTTAGTTGCTATTCTTCTCTTCCCATTTGATACTTTTATCCGCCCTCACCTCTCCCAGAAAACATCCTTCTGGTGTGTAAAATCTTGATGAAGCCCTAAACATACTGAAAACACTCTGCATGAGTACTTTTTAGTAATATTTGTATTTTGATGTGTAATATTTAGTCTAGCTTATTCCAGCTGAACGTAATCAGCTGTATACTTAAATTTGAAAAAGGAAGCTGCTTTTTTGTGGTAAGAAATATGTTTCTTCAGTTTCTTATATTAAAATAGCAAATTGCTTGATCCTCTTGGCCTTCAGTTTCCGCCTTTGTAGAAGACTGAACAAGGAACCCTTTCCTTCCTGAGGCACCTTTTGAGGACAGGCATTTTCATAGACTATGGCCTCTGCAGGACTGGAGTTTGCAATCCTTCTCGTTCACATACACTCCTGCTCCACATGGCAGCAATAAGTGATGTTATAGAAGACAGGGGGAATAGATAAGTAGATGTGAATTAGAAATTACCAATTGTTCTAATCAGTAAAAGATTTCATCATGTTTCCCTTTTTTGGTCAATGTCTCTAGCGAAAGTAAACACATGTTATTAAACTGAGACGAGCTAAAATCAGTGTAAAATAATGATGCCACACTAATGTCTCACCTCTCATTTCAGCTTAACATTTAAAAAAACCCAGACAGTTTGCTGACCTCGACAAACTACATATAGGGACACAGGCACTCAAGTCCCTTATATTAGACAAATGAACCATATCTGGGTGTCAGGGACCCAAGTACACCAACAGGCTCTAATTGCTGTGACCTGCCTGTAAGGATGTTTCTCTGTAATCTCCTCCCTCCCTTCCCTCTCCTAGAGTGGGAAACATAGCATCATGACAAGCTGCAATTAAAGTACTACAGATGAAGGAATCATAGGCTGAAGGGTGTGCTGAGAATTAGTTTATTCTGCAGACCTACGTTTTCTCTCTCTCAAATATTTGCCTTTAAAACCCCAATAATATTACGTACTTTCATGGAAAAAAATACCGGTGAGACAGGGAATTTGTTTACAGACATTTCCAGATAACAGACTCAAAAGCAATCTAAGCTTAGAAGGAAATGTCATTTTGCAGCATGCAATTCATACTCTTCACTCCAGGAAAAAAAAAGTTACGTAATAAAAATTACTTGCTGGTTCTGCCAAATAGCTTCCTGATGAATGACCAACACTATAGGGAAGAATACACTTTTGTTACATTATTAACTTTTTCCTAATTCCTAAATATTGAATTTTCCCCTCATTTTAAGTCTAAATCAGCATTTTGTTTCACAAACTAACATTTTCTGGGTTTTTTAAAAAATACTATTTTATAACCTTTGTTATTGAAAGCAAAGTAGGTTTGTTAAAAATATTACCTCCTTTTCCAAAACACACAATCCAATAAATGTACTCCTAGCATCTTATACTGAGGTTGTTGGAGCTTATCATCACAACTGTCAAGCTGTCACTCACTTGAAGTCCAAGTCAATAACCAGCTAAGTGAAAAACTGTTTGACTTAAAAGTATAAATAAAAAATAGCCAGTATATTTCTAGTTAAACCTTCCTGCTTTAACCTATGAAAACCTATGAAACACACACACACATCTTTCACAGGCAAACAAATGCTATAAATGGAAAAAGCATAAAAGCACTACAGATGAAACACTGCCACAGTATTCTGTGTGAAGTGCTGAAGCACACCACAGTAACAGTTGAGGTGAGCACATCCTTTCTTTTTCCTCCCCGCACCCACAAATCCTTTCTTACATCTCCTTCTGTTGGAAGGAAGCTAACATGGGGGGACCAGGTGTTTCCACAGACCATTTGTGGCTTGCTGTTCTGCCCTTTACTTTCATAGCTCAATGATACCTGATTCTGCAGACTTCTGTTTCACTGTGTTCATTCCTCCCCTGGGGCTGGGAATCCCCATTCCTCCCTGTGGCTTCTCTCTCACTGTTTCTAATCCCACCAGTCTGACCCTGGGACATCTCCTTAGGCTCAGCTCAGCTCCATGCTCCGAGGTCATGAGTCATTTTGATGATGGCGGTTTACATGTGAAAGGAACTATGTGTAATTTTGGGTTTCATAGAAGAGTCATCTCTCCTTTACCTCCGCATCAATTTCCTGCATCACGCCTTGGGGCACAGCCTTCAGAGGCTTCCTTCCCCCCACCCCCTGCCCCATAGCAGTCACACAGGCAGGTAAGTGTGTCATCCCTTGCAGGTGGATGACATTCATGTCTTAATCACTCCTCTCCTCCACACCTCTCACTCCTCCCTTTCCCAGTTTGCAGAAAACAGAAATTTCCTTTTGTCCTCCTACTGCACGATAAAAAGCAGCTTGCTACTTCAGGGGAGAGGGGGGAAACCAGGAGGGAAACCTAGAACGAGTTTCTTTCATGCTTGTTAACTGCTGCTTCACTGCAAGCAAAGATGACCATCTTAGCACGTGGCTTACAATTTTCTGTTTGTAATACCACAGAGTGTGGATTTGAATCATCATTTTTCTTCTTCTTTCTTCCTACTTATCTTAAAGCCTTTCTGACACTCCCAAAGATCTTTGTCCCCCACACCTCTGCTCAGCCTTAGTTAAATCAGAACTACCAAATGCAACAACCTAAAGAAATGTTACTGCTCTTGGGCTATACAGTTTTGTGGATCTGTGTTATCCAAAAGGCATAGCTGGCTGCAGAGGGTGGCACTTTGGATAATCAGTGGGTTTAGCTGACCTTTTAAAGCACTATAAAACATATCTTCTCACTCAGTCTTCCTCATCACAGAAAGTAGCCATATCGGGGGGGGGCAAAAAAAAAAAAAAAAGGGTAGCAAGTTCATTGCATCATTTCAGAAATCAAAAAGTTTCATGCATAATCAAGTCACCCAAGGAACATCCCCTGAAAGTTCTTTCCTGGCAGATAAACATTGCAAAAGCAGACTGCATTTACCTTAAGGGAACATGAAGTTCTCTGAGGGTTCAGACTCTCTTGGGCAATAGGTTTAGGGTCCTCGCATGACTGATAAGTGTTATTCTTCTCTATCAGGTTCCTTATTTCAACATCAAGCTCTTTACTTTCACACCTGCTTAGAAAGAAATAGCAACATTAAACTTTACACCAAAACTTGAAGCGCAGAGAAGGTAAATTTGTCAGCTGTCTTCTGAATGTTGACAGCACAGATAGCAGAGCTAGTCCTGCACCGAGCTCCTGCTACCCTCCTTCCTGGTACACAATCAGAGAGCAATAGAGCTGTGTCACAGAGGCAATCTCTAAGTACTTTGTGGCCGAAATTCATTTAAAATACTTAAGCGAGCAGTCTTTATGCATTTTACTTCCTTGTGTCTACAAAATACAGGTCAACCCTTTTGGGGGTTTATAGGAAGACTGTCATGTGCCCTCAACCCCAGCCACCCACCTGCAGTTTCAGGAATTTTATATTCAACTTTAACAAAAATGCAATCAAAATGGTTAAACTGGTTTTGAACTCCAAAACTAGGTGCTCAGTTCACAAAGTTTTTTGATGGCACATTTTGTTTTCTGTAACACTTTGTAATAGATACCTGACATGCATTTTCAATTATTTTTTTCCTGAATATTCCTTCTAAAAACATTCATATCTTGTAAAAATTGCTCTGTTGTGAACACTAAAATGATAGCTGTTTGGTGGGAAAATTCTTTTCTTTCAGTCTCTGTTAAGGACACACAGGACTTCACATGCACTTAAGGGCTTGCTCCAAATTTGCAGAACTAACTAGCAATTACAGTTGATTCACTTGATACACCATAATGGTGGAATGTGAATTTCAGAGAATGGACCAAGACGTAATTACAACAAACCCCCGAAAGTCCTAGACCAACCCAAGTTTTCAAGAAATACTCATCTTTTTCGCAAGCTCAGACCTTCATCCCCTCATCATCTTAAACCAACTCTAAATATAAGTAATGCACAACCAGAAAGCAAACTGCAAGACTCAAAAGTATTACCAACCTGTTATAGCAAGATTACTTCTTGATTTAGGCAGAAAATACTAAATTCTTCATTTCAACTACCAGAAAAACTGAAAGCAGTAAGAATTTATCAGTTATACTTATTGCAGTTTAGACAGGCAATCCACAGGGATCATGCTGCAGGTTCTGAGGAAACTCTTGAAGGGCAATTGATAAAATTATCCAATAAACAAACCCATCTATCTTAATCATAAGAGTAAATAAGAGTGGCAAATTTCATGCTGATAACATAAAATTATTCATTTTATTCTCAATATTTACAACACAGAGACTATAACAGAAATGTATTTTCATTAAGCATGAATACAAAATCATTTGCAGAGGTACTACAATAAAATACCAACAGTAGCAAATAAGGGCAAGTAAAACTCAGATGCTTTTTTTTTACTTGCTGCCTAGTAGTTGGACAAGCTGGAGTTTCATGGCAGTTTCAGAGCTGCCATGAAGCCTGCCTGCACCAAGAAAAAGTTTCATAGCAGAAACAAGATATTTGGATGTGTTTCGAGAGCTAGACCTATGGCATAGGGAAATAGGACCTTTACACAAGGAAGCAAGACCAGAGTTTTTTAGCACTGGAAGGTCCTGAAACACCAGAAGACATCACATGATTTTTCTTCTCTGCAGAAAGATATTTCTTTGTACTAACTTTTTGCCTTTTTTTTTTTTTTTTAAACCAATACAGCAACTAGTGCCAGTTCAAAGAAACAGATTACCCAACTGAAGAGGGTATTGTCTTTTGTTAGACCACTTCAACTGGCCATAATTCCCTTTCAAAGCCATGTCAATTAAGAGAAAGACCTTCTTGACGCACATTTTCATGAACCTCATGGCGGTGCAGCAGGCTGCAGCTGCTCTGAACGCTCGTGGCAGTTTTCAAAGCCTCAGCTGTGTGTGGGTGGCAGGTGAGCCCCAGCAGCACAGGCCCTACATGGCAGCTCCTGAAGAAACTGCAGGACAACAACAAAACTTTGCAAAAGAAATCCAGCCCTTTTCTGTCTCGCTAAATATTGCAAAACCCTGAATAGACCAGTGCAAGTGGCACTTTTTCTTTTTTAAGCAATTCTGTGCTAAGGTTCCTGGACAATAAATAAAGCATGACCAAGTGCTCTGCCTTCATTTTTAATCAGCTACATAATGCAAACTTTACAACATAAGTAGCAACACCCCTTTTCTCTCAAGTGCACTTCCCTGGAAAACAGCATCTTCAGCTCATTTGCACTCCCATGCTTTACCCAGCCTGAGATTGCTTTGCAAGACAGAACTGGATACACACTGTGCAGACCACTCAGTGCTTTTGAGGATGCTCGGAAGAATTGAAGAGCCACAGAATGGAAGCAGTCGCTCATGGTGCAGTTTTAGGAAAAGTGCATGAAAATGTATCTACATAGTGAGGGAGGAATTATTGCTGCAGCCTCCTTAGAGCCCCTAGAAACATGGCAAAAGGAACGGAGAGGTTAAGTAAAGCAAGGTGAAACGTCACTAAGCAGCACTGAGGGATTTTGGACAGAGCTGCTAAAACCACAGGCCAATATTTTCAGACTAAGCTTTCAAAACTTCAGTTTTTTACCTGTGCTTAAGCAACCAACCAAGGGCAGGCTAGTTGCTCTCCTCTTTCCTTGCTCCACACACCTCCTGTGTGAGATCAGTAGAGCAACCAGCTTACCACTTAGCCGAGAGAAAAAACTCTGGCCTACAAGTGGCTTCTAGTAAAGGGTATTTTGCTCATTGCCCAGGGTTGCAGTCACACATCCTGCTCAAGCTGCAGCAAAGCCAGCCAGAGTCCAACTCCTCTACAGCCCCAGCCACTTTCCACTTTCACTGCCTCTCTACTGCAAATTACCATCCCCAACTGCCAGCACAACCCACTCACCCGGCTTGGTCAAAATAGTCAGGGTTTCTTAAACACTTTTAAGCTAAATAAAGCAGCTTAGACTAAAACAGCCATTCAAAATAAAGAAGCAATGGCTAGGTGCAGTCCTGAGGACAGTAAAAGATGGGCAGCAATGTCTGGCAGGAGTGCAGCAGCAAGTATTTAGGCAGGCTGCATTCCTCTCTGCTGCTGGTTCAGCCACAGCAGGAGAAGATATGTGACCACAGCCTCCCGAGATCAGAGCGTGAATCAAGCTGGGAAATACCCCATAAAGATGGTGGGTTGGCTTTAAATATTTCTTTTCAGTCAGGAGGTGCTCATTCCTCTGCTCTCCTCCGCACAGTTTGTCTGACACTGTGGCTGTAAATGATGTTCACTCCGGCTGCTCCTACCCTGTCTCTTCACATTCTCCTTTCTGGGCTTAGTAGTACCCGGGCACGAGCAGGAACCAGCTGTGCATGGGTAAAAGAAAGGGAACCGCAAAAGACTCAAATCCCTACAAATTGATTGCTGCTCTGTAATACTTGTGTGTTTCGACATCATCACAAAAGTCAGAAAATTACTTCATTGACTGGATTTCTCAGTGCATCTGGTTTTCCCTCAGTTTTTAGACTAAAGTCTTCTGACCAGAAACTATTACTCTGTTTATCTGCATTTTAATATTAGCCATTTTAATAATTGGAAGGATATATTTATTGTGATGTAAAACGTTAATCATATCTGGTGTATAGATCCATTTTACAGTCTGGACTCTCAGAGCACACAGATTATCTGAGTGCTTGAATAAATCTTCAAGATACTGGTGATTAGGAGCTATCCCACGGCAAGACAGCTCTTGATGATTACCTGAGCTTCCCCTGGTGAGCTCTAGAGGGCACACAGCATTTAGCATCTGCAAAAAGCAAATTTTTTCAAAACTGCTTCTGGTTTTGTGAAGTTCGCAGGTACATTTCTGCACCATTAATACCCTTACTGTTCTACGCTGTTACCAACATTTTGTAAAATTAGGTATTTCCTGTTTTAATAATTAAATTATGCAAATAGGCAATCTGGTAGAAAAAAATCAGAAAAATGAAATCCATTCAAATTTGGGAGATATAGTTTTTTATGTTTTGTAAAATCAATCATCAGAGTATTAAAAGCATTTTCATGTGCTCATATGGGACAAAGTATATCCATACTATGTGCAAAATCTTTCTAAAGTATATGAAGATAGAAAAAAATATGCAACTCATCCTACTTACACAGCATGCTATGATTAATGTAGAAGCCAATAAAAGATTAGAATATTAACTCCTCTTTGTAAACTTTGAGTTTGTTGCTAGATTTCCTTTTTTGGGAAAATTAAGACATTTCACATGGAAGCAGAACCTACAGACGTAATGAAGGAAGCTGGTCTCCCAGCATTAACTTTTAGCAGCTTGCAGGAAAAGGAGAAAGCCCAACCTTACTCATAATTTCCATGTCGTATCTGAAAAGTAGTAGCCAATATCCTTCTACCCATGTCCTCCAAGAATAAGAAATTAGGTCTGTTCTCCTTGGTTTGCAAGTTGCCACATTCATGCAGGATTTCACTGCTAGAGACTAACTGTGCACCACATTAAAGATATTTTCATTTCTTCCACATATTCACCTAGATGCCTTTAAATTGGTTTTCACTTTTTGGTCTATGGTACATCTTGGCGCCACTTCAATTTCTAGGCTCTATTGGCTTTTTGTAATTAATTATTTATAAATGGTTGCATACTTTTTACAGCAAATCAGTTTTTCAGCTGGGAGCCAGAACAAAAATTGCACCCAGCACATGCTTTGCATGTGAATGGGGCTGAAATTCTGATGTAGATCAATGCCACCCAGCTAAATAAACAGTGCTGGTCCATCTGTCCTCACAGGGTTAGGCAATGAAGTGCTGGCTGCATACGCACAGGGAATTTTATTAAATCATGCATGTAACTGAGCCTGAGCAAAACCTATATTTGGCCCAAAACTAAAGCCAGAATATGATGGCACCAGAAAGGAAGCGTGAGATGTGGACACACCGGTGGCTTCTAATAGCGCCAAGGGCACTCCTTGCAATCCATCTTTTCCTGGTCAGGAGCAGAAGCAGAAGACAGAACAACTCCCACTAATACATGTTTTCATAATGGAACAGCAACCAGTTCGAGCTCCTGATGGCCTGCCCCATGCTCTTCTGATGAGCCACATGCTTTGGGCTTGTGGCAGCACGACTGATGGCCAAGAAATACATGTTTATCAAATAGCCAGGTAGAAGCCCCATGCAGAGTCCCAGCTCTGCAGCTGGTAGGTACCATTTGTGAGCTCTTGGGTCTCCCTGGTTTTCACTGGAAACTGGCATTATTAATAGCAGTTATGTGGCAACAATGGACATACCTACAACATGTCCTAGAGCATTTATTGCAAAATGTTAATACCAAAGGCATATAACTCTATTTGAAATAATAATTTCAAGGCTAGTGTGCTGGGGTCATGCTCCTGTGATTGGTGAAAGCACAAATACACACCATAAACAATTGTGGAGAAAAGGTTTTAAGCCAGGATTTACAGCCAGACGCCAACACCACGGAGTCATATTTTGACGGGAAATGAATTCCAGAGTCTAGGGGTTAAACACATGCTTCATCCCCTTGGGTGGGCATTTGGGATGTAGGATTCTTGCTTGGCTAAGCCTAAGGAGCAGATCCACAGAAAGAAATAAATTTCTGCATTTGAATTATGGAAGATGAACCAGTTCGGATAAATTAAAAAACATGCGAAATTTCAAGGCAAACTGTTTCAGCTAATATTTCCCCTATTTATGATAACATACTTCATTTCAGAAAAAGGCCTTTAGAATATGGGAGAGAATAAGACCTGGACGACAGAATATTTATCTAACTTGCACTAGAAACAGACTTAAAATAGGAATAAATTAGGCATCTAATTCTTAAAAATGACAGTTTATCTGTAGAACTAGCCTATTCTTTTATGTTCCATATGATTTTACAGGATTTTTACTCTCTTTTAATTCAGTTTTGTAGAATTCTTACGGGTTTTTTTCATGTAAATACATTGGGGTTTTTATATTAAAATCTTACCCAGTTAAGACTAAATGACAAAGTATTTCCGGTCCAATAAGCAATGGGAAGAACAAAAATTTGCCAAGAAAACAAAAAGACTTTTGTTACAGCAAAAATTTTTTGCAGTCTCATGAGCTCTTACAAGTTTAGTAGATTCTGAGCTGATAGCGAATAGTTACAATGTGGCGAAGCTCCCTAAGGATCAGTGGCACTATTCCAGTACTCAACACCCAGCAAGCGGATCTCCGCTCAGAGTTTAGGCTTGGAAATTTGAGCCAGATCTCTTGAAATTGAGCTCCACTAGTTCTATGTTCCACCCCACATGTACCACTATAAGAAAAAGTTTATTGGGCATAAAGCATACTGCGCTGGTACAAATACAAAAGGAACACCTGCCTTTGATGATTATGAGGATATACTTAAAAAGAAAGTTAAAAAAAAAAAGCAACACATTATTTCAAGTTATTTCCAACTTAATTTTTTAACTCAAGTTTCACCAAAAAAATTCACCCAGTATTTCAAAACCATAGCTAGAAAGCCAGCCACCACCAGCAGCTGAGCTCCACCTAGCAGAAGAACTGTATTGTCTTTGGAGTGAAACGTCCCAGATGGCGCAAAAAAAGTGCTGGCACTGGTGCTTGGGAGGTAAGTGTGAGATTAGAAATAATCTCACTCCAGTCCCAAGAAGAGAGCTCCATAAGGCAAGGTGTATGACAGGGGTTAAAACATGTACATACTGCAACTATAGCAGAGAAACCACTTAAACTTTCGCTCAAATCTGATGTAGCCAAAACATCTGCCTATCACCCCATAAACGTCCCTACACTTCTGTTCCCTTTACGACAAAGGAATGGAGCTTTTAAGGCACATTTAATAGCCAG